TGCACTAGAGGACAATGCAAGGAGAGTGAATGATGAAATGTACATCACGATATCAATCACATGAAATAATGAAATGCTGAACGTAATATTCTGATATCGTGATGCACATTTCATCATTTTCTATTAAGAGCAGGCATGATATTCCCCTCTGAAAAAAAAATCGGGGCCAGCCAAAAGAGACCCCCCCACCGTGCGCCAAGAAATCGCTGCCCAGCTCCCTTTTCCTGCCGCTCAGCAGGCTCCGCTCGCACCGCCCGCCCGCCCGGGCTCCGCTCAGGTATCTGGCTGGGGCTGTCAGGAGTTGCTACCGCCGGCGCAGCTCCAGTCCCGCGTTGCCTCGGGAAGGGAAAGGCAAAACCAGGAGCCGCTGCTGCCGTTGCAAAGCGCCACCACGGCTCTTCCTTTTTGCCTTTCCCTTCCTGAGGCAACGCGGGACTGGAGCCACGTAGAGCCGCGCCAGCGGTAGCAACTCCTGACTCGGGGCCTCCAAGGGGAGGGGAAGGAGGAGAAGAAGGGGGGGAAAGGGGGGGGCGATTCGCAAAAAAATCGGAATTCCGATTTTAATCGGAAGAATATCATGTCTGTTAAGAGTTTGAACTGGATACTTATGTTCTGATGCCGACCTCTAAATTAACATGCCAAATTGCAGTCCAACAAAAGAGAAATATTTAGCACTTACTCATGCCAGGAGCAGCCATAACAATGCGGGAAACCACCACCTGAGTTATCCCCTTGATTGCAGCTCTCTAAAACAAACAAAAAAAATAACAATGACACAGTATTCATTGCAGAAAATCCAGCCTCAGAAGCAAGGCAATACTGGTGGGACACTCCTAAATGGCAATTTCCCCAGGCCTTATCTCAACACTGGACAAAATGCTTACTAGGAATCTTTATCATACCAATGATATCTCCTGTTTGCCAGGAGTAGTTCAAAAGTATTCAACTGCATTTAAAATTACAATGTATTAAAGACACACATATTTTTGTTTAAAAAAGCATTCAAAGAGTAGAACATCTTGATCTAGTTCAAAAAAGGGCAGGCAGGATTTGTTTGTTAATTTTTTAATGAACAATGCATTCATATAATCCAAAAATAATGGAACAATATGGGATCACTCCTTTAAATGCAAATATTCCTGTTAACCAAGACAATATATACATTTTTCCAAGAAGATATTAAATAAGTTTCAATATGAATTGTATTTGTGGTCAAAGATTGGTTAGTTACATATTATTAGGAAAGCAATCAAAAGGCAGTAAAAGAAAATTCTCAAACAGTTAAACTTTTTAAAAACATATTTATTCATTCAGTATGGATGCCACCCAAATCCAACCATTTCATACAATTTGCAGAAAAGAAAGAAGAATTAAAGCCTAAAACAACAAGCTCCACTCCAGGCTTCCTTAAGGACAAATCTGCTATTGAGAAGAATCTTTTCTTCATCTGGCTACTAAAGCAATTACATAAAAAGAACATTATAATATCTATGCTTCAATCTATACAATATAAGGAGCACAGCAATACATACATAATCATCTTCATTTCTCCCACCAAGCAAGGCAGAGATAATCTTGCATATTTTGGTCAAAATTCAGATGGTTGGCAACTGACTCATATTTATGACAGTTGCAATGTCCCAGATTCATGCGATCACCTTCTGTGACCTTCTGACAAGCAAAGTCAGTGGGGAAGCCTGGTTCACTTAAGAACCAGGTTACTAATTTAACAACTGCACTGATTCACTGAACAACTGTGGCAAAAAAGATCGTAAAATGGAGCAAAACTCACTTAACAGATGTCTCTCTTAGCAACAGAAATGCTTGCCCAATTGTGGTCATAAGTCGAGGACTACCTGCATTTTTAACTATCAGTATTGAATACATCTTGCATCAATTCAATTTTAGTTCTTTCAGTAAGGTCAAGCAATCAAACATGGGGCTTACAGTTTACAATATGTAAGATCCACTTCAATGCTTTTCCTCCAGGACAATAGAATGCTATCCAAAAGGACTAAAGAGGCAAGGGAACTATAAGTAAAAAATAAACTTTAGCCAGAATTTTCAACAATGGAGCTGCACGTGAGTATTTAGAGCAGAGGTGTCAAACTGGATTTCTTTGAAGGCTGGATCAGCATTGCAGTTGTCCTCCACGGGCCGGCAGGGGTAGGGGTGGGGAGATGGAATGGACACCTCCTGCAGCACCCTGCCGGCTGACAGGCTGTGGGGGGGGCTCATGTGACACCCCCGTGGCCTGTTTTCGGTCTCCACGGCCTCCTGCAACACACTGCAGGCTGAAAATGGGATGGGGGGGGGCTCAGGGGCGGCCCCCCGTGGCCCATTTTGGCCAGCAGAGGTTCTGCAGGCTGGTCCTTTGATATTTCTAAGCCAGCCCCACAGGCCACAACTAAGCACCCCGCAGGCTGGATTTGGCCCGCGGGCCTTGAGTTTGACACCCCTGATTTAGAGAACCTAATCTAAATTCCAGATTCAACAAAGAGAATCACTCAGAAAAACTCTTAGAAATTTAGACTGTGTTTTTTTCTGGAGGCTTGGAACATTATAATTACAAACCTTCAAGCTAAATGTAAGCCTATGCTAAAAATATTTGTAGTGAGGCAAATATAGTTACCATCTCTGTTCCCAGCGAAATATAGATTTTAAACTGTGTTCAAAAATGTCATTATCTTTCCAATAATACCTACAGCTTGCAAACCTCTCTGGAAAGACCATTACTTTGGTTTTGGCATAAAGGAGGGTGAGTTTTTACAATACGAGTCAAGAGTTTAAAGGAAGGGTTTTAAACCTACTTGTATCTGAGACAGGCCGGACGCAACATCAGCAGTTACGACTGAAATAGATTTATTTGCAACATTATGTGAAAACATCAGTTGACCTAGAGGCTTGCTGAGTGGCTGAACTTAATATTCATGGGGGCCTCTGATAACTCTTACTTTGAATGTAAGAGGAATAAATAGCAGGGTGTGACTTAAAAAGAAAAGAAAAGAAAAATGTGTGTCTGTAAAAGCAAGAAAAGAAGGAATATTGCAACAGGTCTGCTACTCCTCTATGGGTTTCCACCACTGTAACTATCTTAATTTTCTACTCTAAAAATCTAGAAGCATCTTTACCTTTAATCATCACATTTGGCTGCATCATCCTAAATTGTCTGACAACTGATTGCTCCCAACAAGAACTCTGCCTTTTCTCCCTATCCTATATGTATGGAACTGACTTTATAGAAGTAACCATGACACATTCCTTAATTTTTAATTAAAATTTATAAAACCAGTATTTGATTATAAAGCAATATTACAAAAGGAAATACAGAACACCAAAACAGCCAAAATGTATTTTACAAAAAGGGGGAAAAGCAAGGATTTGATTGTCCCATGCTGCTTTTATATCAGTTGCTGTGGCCATCAATTGAGTAATGTTTTTAATTATGGTATTAAATAATAACTTTATTATAATATTTTATCCATTACCAATTTTTATTTTACCATTATTTTAGTCTAAGCATAGTTTTGCTTTACTGAAGAATGGTAGGAAGTATAATAACAGCAAAACAGACTGCTTCATAACATCATTAGCAATTTTGATCTTTCTAAGAGTTCTAGTTCCAACAACTAAAATACTAACAAAACATAAATAAGCTAACAATTTTGCATTATGAATTACACATCTTACCCTGTTTTATCCCTGCCTCCACTTTCTCTGTTATCTCCCTTGTGTCAAACTTTATATTGTAAATTCCTGTGAGCAGGGACCTGTCCTCTGGTTATCGGTAAAATGCCATGAAAACTGATGCCACTGTATAAATAAACAATAAATAATAATACTAGATATAACTTCTCTAAAATAGCTTGTCAGAGGTTATGTACTAAAGTTTAAGAACTCCCAATATAGAGAGATATGTTACTTGGAATACTGGTAACAAACTAGGAATATTAAAGCATCCCAAAGAACATTAAGGAATCTACAAAGCATATGAAATTTGGTTTTTTGAGTGGTAGTGGTGGTAATATATTTTTTGTCAAAGGGACATAATGAAGAGCTCTCAAAATTGTGTTTGGGGAAGTAGTACATGCTAATGGTAGATATTCACCACAGATAGTCAAGATATTTCAAGAATGCCAAAAATTCATTATTATCCTAATTCTTTTAACTTCTATCTTGATGAAGTAAGTTGCTGCCTTAAACCTTTAATGGCTCTGAACCAGTGTTTCCCTACCTAAGGAATGTCCAGATGTACGACTTCTAGAAAGTCCTAGCCAGAATGCTCATTCTGAAAATTCTGGGAATTTAAACAGACATATTTGTATGCTGCTAAGATTGGGAACACAACTCTACTGTAATCCCACATTCCTTAATCACAATTCTTAGCATTCCCACTAACTGAGAATTCTGAGAGTTATTAACCCAATGCATCTGGAACGGCATTAGGTTGCAGAAGTCTATATTGGACCGTTCAACAACTCTAAGCTGCTCTTTCTTTAAGAAATGTTGATTTTACCATCTACCTCTTTATCTGAAATCATGCGAGTTTATGGGAGACCAAAAACAAACAAACAAACAAAACCGATCTCAGTAGATAAACATTTGCTGCCACCTGATGTATCAGCAGACAAGGCTCTCCTTAGGCAGTCAGACACATACTGTAGAGAAGATGACTCTAAATGTTCCTGTTTATAAAAAGAATAATAATAAATCAATTCTTGGATTTCAAATACCCAAGGTAACGGTACTTACCCTGGACTTTCCCAGAGTATTGTCATTTTCGTCTGTCACTGTGATCCCATTAATAAGTTCCCTAATGCAGACACAAACATATGACCTTAGACATTAAGATCAACCAGCTAGATGTTTGAGAGGAGGGTTGTACTACTCAAGGAAGCGTACTACATGCAACCACTCCTTTTCTCACCATCACAACTATCTCTATGAGATGAAGAGGGCTGGGAAAGAGTGGCTTGTCCTAAGTCAACCAGCTGCCTTGTCCTTTTTAAAAATGCTGTAGGAGCACTGTTATATTCAGTTTAAAACAACAATTACATTGTGCAAAAAGTCCACCCACTTGAGATACTGAGTATCTGACACCAATGATGGTGCATTGCTGCCTCCTAGAGAATCCTATTCCTAATATCAACAAACATTTTGAGGATTTATATATACTCAGCAACTCCAAATAGTAATTTGAATGTCAAAATAAAACCTGAAGAAGGTGACAAATGCTTTTTAAAAGAAATTATCCATCAATATAAATCCATTATGGAATTTATCAATGGAGGCACAAATAGTTCAGGAATGAATAAGTTTAAACCACAGCAAGCTGCAAAAATGTGCTGTTCTGTGTAATATTTTCCAAATGCTCCTCAGACTCTCAGATCCTACCCCAGAGGTCTCCAAACTTGGCAACTTTAAGACTTCCATTAAAAAAAAGTAAGTACAGATTATCGTAAAATTATAAAAAGATTGGTGACAATTCAATCTAGCAGTATAGATTTTTCCATTTGTCCCAAAATCACTTATGCCCTAATTAGCAAAGTGACCCAGTCTTTATCTTATCTTACAGATTATACAAGAGGCAAAATCTGGGCTGTAGCCAGTTCCCTGCAAATACTCCTCCTGAAGCCATTGGCTAAATGACTGTGATGTCATGGAATTTTAATGAATTGCAGCTGTACAGGTAAAGATGACATCAACAAAATGTTGACAGTGCAGCAGCTTCTGTAAGCAAAACTTCATCAGACTGGGAGCAAATTATCATATAATAGCCAGGGAAAGAACAACAGATTAAAAGATGCTGTTTTTATTTGGATCACAACTGACTGATTCAATCATTCTCCATAGCAATTAATTCAGCCCTGGGCAAAGGAACAACATGGCCATGAATGACATTTCTGAAGTTTTTCCAGCTGCCACCAGAGTCCAGGAAGCATCGCACTCTGGCTTTGGTGAAGAAAAAATAAATAGTGGCCCAATTGGGGTTGGTGTCACTGAGGACAGAGAAAATTATTTAATTTACTACTTTGATCCAGTGCCTGTCCTTCTATGCTGGTGAGGTAAGGGAGCCAGAAGGCAAGAAGAATGAAAGTAGTGATAAAATCAAGTTACAAATTGAAAAGAGGGATAAAAATGGAAAGAAGGAAATAGAAAGCAAGAGGACTATATGACACAGACAGTATACAGGATCTAAAGTCTGTTTTTGTGTCAAAAACGATTTTGGAGGCAGAGGTTAAAATGATAATAGGACTGTATTTATCATATAGCTTAACCTTCTCTGTGTCTTTAACCTACTTTTAAGAATGCATCTGCACTTTAGGCACATAGACACAATAAAAGTGTGCCCTTTTTAGTGGCTAGTATATGGTATAAATATTTAGTTGGTTGCTTCTATTGATATAGTTAACTATATGCATATACTGTATATGTAGTTGGTAAATCTAATTCAGTTTGCAAGAGGAAGGTGCAACAGCTAGCTAGGATTGAGAAAAGATACTGTAGTACAGATTGGTAGCGGGATTATAAAATTTTTGAAGTTTATTTCCTTCTCTTAGGAAATTAGTTTATAGGAAAAATAGGGAGAGTTGCAGAGATGCCATTTTTGACTGGAATATTAGGTCAAATCATTAATTGTCTTTGTCAAGTCAAGCAATGAGTGCAAGTAGTATTCTAATATTTTTGTAAAAAGCCAAACATATAAGACAAGAAATAAAGTGTAAAAGCAACAAATAATGTAGTGGTCTGTGGTCTAACTTCTCTGTACAAGAATATTGGTTCCTGGCATTTGGATGCGCCATACAGTACTGTAGACTGTGAGGATATTGGGTACATGCTAATTAGAGGACTAATTAAAGGCAACATATATCTTTTGTTTGTTTGTTTAGCACACACAACCCTTGCTTTGGTTTTAATGATCCACGTTTGTCCATTTAATGGTCTTAATGGCCCAAAACTAGTGACTGAGATGGAGACAGTAGTGACCAATGATGTAGAAGCAAATTTCATGAAGGCAATGGAACAATTTCTCTCTGTAAAAAAAAGTTGTCTGGCTACCTGTTTCTGATATCAGTGGTAATTTTGAAAGGCAGGAAGAAAATACAGCTATTCCCATCCCCAAGCAAATGCTTTTATTCTTATATTAAAGGAGTCACTCTTAGTAAACCAAAGCTGACTTCTGTGCATTATATTCAAGAAAAACCCTCCTTCATCATGTTATTCTTTCATCCATCTCCCTCTTCTGTTGGGATTTCATCAAGAGACTTACTGTTGCCTCATCAAGGGGATATTCACACAGTTGGCAGAAGCTACTGCTGCGAATGGGACCCAGCGTGCCATAAGGGATGGTGCTCTCTGTATGGAGGAAGATAAAGCAATAAGAAGCAGGATTAATCTTTACAAGGAAAGGAAAAATAACTGAGTTAGCAGTACTATGGAAGCCATGGGCAATGGGCTTCTATTGCACTGACATAAATTCTTGTAATCCCACAATGAATTTGTCTCTTAGAACAAAAGTGTGCAACCTGCAGTTCCAAGGATACAAGAATACATGTATTCCCTCAGTTTCATAGTTTAGCCCTCCAGAACCCTAACAATAAAAGTCTTCAACGAACTGTGCCTTTTTAAATAAACAGGAGAAAATTGGTACCTACGTCAGAGAAAATTTTTAATTGTGTTTAATTAAATTCAGTGAAAATGCACGTTAAATAAAATTAAATTTAGATGCTTTTTCAAGGTTGTTACTATCCTTGAGTCTAACCCCTGACATGCCACTCAAATGACAAGGGTGGCCCTTAGCATAAAAAGTGCATTGTGCTTACAATCTTTGCAGTGGTGAAGTGTGGAAGAAAGATATATTTTACAGCCCAAAGGGGAAAAAAACTATTTAGAGAGAAAAGATATTCCACTCCTCCACATTAGAAGACTCGGGGCTTTTGAAGAAAACAGTTATGCTCCTTACAGGTCTAAGTTCCTACAAGAAAAGGCCAGTTATGATGCCTTGTCTCATTCTTGGGCCAGTTTCCCCCTTGTGGTTAAAATTAGTAGCATTTTAGAGTTGTACCTTAGTGTAAAGATTGAGTCCCACAGCAGTTGCCAAGGCAGTGCTGGTAGCGGTGAAATAAGCCACTCCTATTTGCCTGAATTATCCAAAGGGGATATAAAATAATAAGAGTTGTGGCATTAGTCATTTTAAAACTGCAGTTGTGTAACGAAGAGTCCTATCATTCACATGCATTTTTAAAGGCAAATTTAATCACAACTCTTATACTCTATCCTTAAACAAGAATGAGCTTTGTGAAAACTTTTTCTTTATGGATTTGTGGCTTTTCATGAAAGATCTATGATATAAAGAGATACATACATATTTTACACCTCTACAGGTGAAACTCGAAAAATTAGAATATCGTGCAAAAGTTCATTTATTTCAGTAATGCAACTTAAAAGGTGAAACTAATATATGAGATAGACTCATTACATGCAAAGCAAGATAGTTCAAGACATGATTTGTCATAATTGAGATGATGATGGCTTACAGCTCATGAAAACCCCAAATCCACAATCTCAGAAAATTAGAATATTACATGCAATCAATAAAACAAGGATTGTACATAGAACAATATCGGACCTCTGAAAAGTATAAGCATGCATATGTACTCAGTACTTGGTTTGGGCCCCTTTTACAGCAATTACTGCCTCAATGCAGCGTGGCATGGAAGCTGTCAGCCTGTGGCACTGCTGAGGTGTTATGGAAGACCAGGATGCTTCAATAGCGGCCTTCAGCTCTTCTGCATTGTTCGGTCTCATGTCTCTCAACTTTCTCTTGGCAATGCCCCATAGATTCTCTATGTGGTTCAGGTCAGGTGAGTTTGCTGATCAGTCAAGCACAGTAATCCCACGGTCATTGAACCAGGTTTTGGTGCTTTTGGCAGTGTGGGCAGGTGCCAAGTCCTGCTGGAAAATGAAGTCAGCATCCCCATAAAGCTCGTCTGTGGAAGAAAGCATGAAGTGCTCCAAAATCTGCTGGTAGATGGCTGCGTTGACCCTGGACTTAATGAAGCACAATGGACCAACACCAGTAGATGACATGGCTCCCCAAATCAACACAGACTGTGGAAACTTCACATTGGACTTCAAGCATCTTGCAGTGTGTGCCTCTCCATTCTTCCTCCAGACTCTGGGTCCTTGGTTTCCAAATGAGATGCAAAAGTTTCTCTCATCAGAAAAGAGGACTTTGGACCATTGAACAACAGACCAGTTCTGTTTTTCTTTAGCCCAGGTAAGATGCTTCTAACGTTGTTTGTTGCTCAGGAGCGGCTTGACAAGAGGAATACAACATTTGAAGCCCATGTCCAGGATCTGTCTGTGTGTGGTGGCTCTTGATGCACTGACTCCAGCCTCAGTCCACTCCTTGTGAAAGTCTCCAACACTTTTCCTGACAATCCTCTCCAGGCTGCGGTCATCCCTGCTGCTTGTGCACCTTTTTCTTCCACACTTTTCCCTTCCACATAACTTTCTATTAATGTGCTTTGATACAGCACTTTGGGAACATCCAACTTCTTTTGCAATTACCTTTGAGGCTTTCCCTCCTTATGGAGGGTGTCAATGATGGTTTTCTGCACAACTGTCAGGTCAGCAGTCTTTCCCATGATTGTGATTCCTACTGAACCTGACTGAGAGACCATTTAAAGGTTCAGGAACCCTTTGCAGGTGTTATGGCTTCATTAGCTGATTAGAGTGGGACACTTTGAGCCTAGAATATTGAACCTTTTCACAATATTCTAATTTTCTGAGATTGTGGATTTGGGGTTTTCATGAGCTGTAAGCCATCATCATCTCAATTATGACACATCACGGCTTGAACTATCTTGCTTTGCATGTAATGAGTCTATCTCATACATTAGTTTCACCTTTTAAGTTGCATTACTGAAATAAATGAATTTTTGCACGATATTCTAATTTTTCGAGTTTCACTTGTAGTTCTGTGACACACATAGAAAATAAAGAATGGCCATTAAGTCAAAGTAAGAGAATGTAAATGTAAGAGAAAAAACAGGTTAGCCTACAATAGCTGAAAATCAAGAAGAATCTGGCATCGCCCTTCAAGACTAATTTTCTTAAAAGGAATAAATGTGTTTGTGAGCTACAGATGTGCCAGATTCCTTCTGAAACATGAAGTCACAGGTAATTGTATTGGGCTAAAATCCTTGATATATATATAGCCACTTCCCCATTTCAGGTCCCATCCCACATTTACCCCACTCTAGCTGATACTCAGAAATAAAGCTCTGAATTGAATCAACCATGAAAACTACATACAGGAGCAGAAAAAGTAGATATATCTCGATTGTCCCTTTTCAACAGTCAGCCATTTTCTATTCCCTGAAGTCAGTTCTGGAAATACTATACATCCAAATGAAAAGGTACTATGGCTAGCAAAACTCGACCATGTACCCACAATGTCTATACCGCAAAAGAAATCTCCTCTTAGCAATGATTCCAGAGAGTGCTATAGATCAAAGCTAAAGCAAAGCCAGCTAATTGGTTCATAAGGAGCACTGACTGAAAACTATAAGCTATCAGGTAATCCTGAAGAGACACTTACTTGACCGAGATGGGGCTAGCTGCATTCCGGTTGGTGTAATTCACAATGGCATTAAAAGACTGATTTACCCACTGCCAAAACACCACAGCCGGGACTGTTCTGTAAAGAAAAAAAAAAGTGAACACAGATTCAAGCATCTGAGAAGGTATGTGTATCTTCCAGAAAGCTGAATGAGATAGAACCAATGTTAGCTCTCTTTCTGGACCCATGTATTAGCCTTGATCAGACACTGATTTTATTATTATTATTATAAAATTTTTATTATAAAAGATCCTATGTCATAATCAAAAACTTTCTATTAAAATGAAATTAGAACAGCTGAAATGATCCTAGGTAAACAAAGCACAAAGTTCCAGTTAGTAAAGCTGAAAAAATAGCTCAAGAAAAAGAATAACAAAAGAACAATTAGTACAAAAGATATAACAGAGTTATAGAACTCTAATTAAGAAGTGGGTTGAGGCTAAAGTTGATGGCGGGATTCTCACAACCTGCAAGGCTAAAAAGTGGCAATTTGTGGCCAAGCATGTTGGGCAAATCTAGCCAGTATAATTAATATAAGGTTGACTGGCTTATGTAAAGCCAGGCCACTGGGTATACTGAGAAGCTGCAAAGCATTGGAAAACAAACTCTGGCTCTACTTTGTGAGACTGACTAAGTAGTCACTGTCTTAGTTGAAAAGCTATGCAGTCTCAACATTTCATTTATCATATAACCTCCTGTATACATTTTAGCCTTTGCAATTTTTTACCATTAAAAGGCCATTACACAGAGTTGGTGGTTCTAAAACATATAGTGACCTTGGCAAAAATTATTGCTAGATGAATTTTCATAACTTGTTCTGTGAAATAAAGTTGGTTACCTGTTATTTTAATACATTTGAAGTGAGTATTTGAATATTTGAAAACAAGAGTGTGTATATTTTGAGGGGATAAGGATCAAACATAACTTTTGTTGCATAAGGAAGACTGTATTTTGAACGTTAGGCAGACCATATGAAAAGAAACAGGTAACATTTAAATGAAAGTTAAAATTAAATTAAAAGTTGATTAGATCATGAATACTTAATCATTTCTCTCTTCTGTCAAATGAAAACATTTGGTTGGCCCTGTCTTTGGGGAGAATAGACATACCAGGCTTCTAGACCCTGGGATCTTGGGTTATATACCTCTACTCTAAGTATTGGGGGGGGGGGGGACACCACACACATAGTTTATCTGCTAAATCATACATGGCTTATTTGTTTTAGCATATTAATGAAATATGACTTCATCCACGGTTTCTAATTTATTAGAAACTAGGAAGCAAAATAAGAAACTGTGTTACTGCTTGGCATATTTCTCCCCACTGATACTGTTTTGGATACAAGTATTGTATCCACTGTATTACTAGTAAATAAATACATCACAGAATTATGAAATAAAAAGGCCCAATCATGCCATCCAAACCAAGCCTCTGCTAAGTGCAGGAATCCATATTAAAGCATCCTGGACTAGGATTCATATATACTTGTTCTTATTAATTTTTCTCCTCCTCCCCAAATTTTATCTGCACAAAGTATAGATTGTTTATCTCAATCTGGGACCCCTCTGTCTTACCCCGACATGCAGCTTGTTTTTAGACTATCCCACAAGCCTTCCTTAATTGATATCAATGTCAACTATTGGAAATTTTTGTTCTAAAATATACAGTACTTGCTTAAAGGATAAAAGAGAGCAATGAACCTCAGAAAAAAAAATGCCCCTTCTTACCTGTAAAATTGCAGCATGCAGCCTGTGATAGCCATTCCTCCAGGGACTTGAAATGACATTCTCCCTATTAAATTCATTTTCTCCCCTGAGTCGGGATGGAAAGCCGAGTCATAAAGCTTCTTGGCATAGAAAAGCTGTTCCTCACTGGTTCCAGGGGGGACGGAACCTGCCCTAGAGGTGCAAAAAAGAAATACCTTCTTAGTTTTATACCTCTTAGTGATTTCAGTATATAGCACATGCCTCTTTAAAATGGTGCACTGGAGCTTCAGAAGAAACTCTCTCTTGAAACAAGTGTGAGTGCAGGTTGGGGGTCTTAACATTCAAATTTGTTGTATGCCAAAGCACTTCAACGCAATCTACAACGCGCAGAGCTGTACGCAAGAAAATGAAGAAACTCTGATACTCAAGGCAGAAAATCTAAACTCCACACAATCAGCAGAAGTAAACCAACAATATTACCCTTTTGGATGATTAAATCTTCCAATTGCATCAAATCAGGTGCTTGAAGCAGCTGTCTCATTCTGTCTAGTAAATAAGGCTGGTTCTGTTTGTATAATATTATGTACAGCTCTGCCTTGCATTTCAATTCACAAGAGTGTGGGATTTCAATACATGTAGATTTAATTTTCTAGTAGTAAGCCCCAGGCAGAGAAATCCTTTTGTTATGAAGGGTTTCCTTTTGTGAAAGAATCTGTTCTCAGAAGAGGTTTGAGTATCCATTTAAGAATTATCACCAACCAATGGCAATGGCGAGAATGAATATTTTTAACAAGAATGAATATTTTTTTAATTAATAATTTTTATTTATCTATTTATATTAACTTATTTGCTGTTCATCTCGCCCAGAGACGGTATCATTACTGTTTAATGTTCCACAAATAAATGCACATAATCACGTGAAGAAAATGAAAAAAGGGAAAAAGATAACAGAAAAAAACATTTAAAAAACAGGTTTAAAACAAATTAAAGTTAAAAATGAGAAAAAAATAATAAAAACATTAAGTTCTAAATTCTGTTTCATTGTAATTGATTATACCAAAATATTTATAAACATTGGAATTGGTTCTAACTACTGGTTTTACCTCAATTATTTCCCCTTTTTAAAGAAGTACTGTTAAGTTTCTGTATTTGACTAAATTTATATGATGTCACACAACAAGGCAAACATCTATTCTTGATGTATGTTATTCATTTTGTCACTAATGTGTATTTGCCAAATTTGGTTTTCTAGTCTGTAACTGTCGATAAAGTGTCTCTTTTATAGTATTGGACCAAATTTGTCTTTGCAATTGTCATCACGTCTGATTAATATCTTAGTTTTATTGATACATTTGAACAGATGCAACTCTTAGATTTTATAGGTTCCAAATTTGATTGATATTATTCAGCAACCTCCCAGTTGGCTACCTGCAGTTCTCTACAATTGTCTTCGCTGAATCCAACGTTTGCTCTGACACCAGCAGCGTCCGTGGATCTGTGATGTTGAAAAAGTGCTTTACACGCCCCCAAAAAGTATTCTGGTCCCAGCGAGGGGCATCAATATTAAACTTGGCAATACTTGCCATTGTTCACTGCAGAGGGAGTACAGAAGAAAGGACAAGTTGTAAATCAACACTGTAGTTCTCTGCTTTTTTTATTAAGCTGTCACCCAAAAATTGTGAATTACTTTTTAAAGACTGTAGACAAAGGAAGAATGTACCTGTTAGCATTTTGTCCTACTGATTTATCAATTCTTTGCCCCACAGATTTGCGTGAAGAGAAGATGAGAATTTTGCTTGCTAAGCCAAACAGAGGAAGGCAGCAAAAGACAGCTGGTGAATTTAGCTGCTGCACCCTCCCAAAAAATATTTACAAGGCTTGCCACTTGTCCAGAACAAATGAACCAGCTCTATTTACTATGCACAGCCAGCATTCAGTCACAATTTCATACTACAAAAATTGGATTTAGCGATTTTTTGAATCTATAACACATCAATATAGTTTTTTACAAAACATAATAGGTTTTTGGTTGTTAAAGGAAAACTGCAAATAAAACATATACAAAAAAACCACAATAGGTTAAAAAAACACGATAATTATACTATACAAACTATTCTAATACTATATGTTAGAAACATATGTACTTGAATAATAATTGCATTAAATAATCATGTCAAATTGTAACTATTTATTGTTAACATAGTGTACTTATATATTTTCTTTTCTTCGTGGTATTTTTCACTTTTTAAAAAATTCTATGTTTTTTATTTGTTTAATAATAGAAGTATTGTTATTTTGGTTTTTTTTTTTCTGTTTTTGTCACTAATTTAAAAAGCAATAAAATAAAAAACAAACAAATAATTACCTAGGAATTTAGTTTCAATATGGTGGACACAAAGATTCTGGAAAATCCAAGAGCTATTTTTTTTTTTTTTTTTTTGCACCTAGATAACAGGATCCCATCAGGTATGAGCTTGATAGATAAGCCAAGATCAGAAAATGGCC